AGCTCCTCAACGGGGATGTGAGTGCGGGGCCGAGGGTGCGTGGGGTGCGGGGGGTGCGGGGCCGACACGGTGGGGTCACTCGCGCCCTCCCGCTCGGCTGACCCCGCTCCCCCACAGGAGTCTCCCGGGGCCCCAGCCCGGTGGTGCTGGGCTCCCAGGACGCCCTGCCGGTGGCCACCGCCTTCACCGAGTACGTCCACGCCTACTTCTGCGGCCACAGCCCCAGGTGCGTGGCGCGGCGCGGGCGAGGCCCCGAGGGGCGGGCGGAGCCCCCGGGCCGGGCCCGCGGGACCCGGTGCCAGGCTCCGTCCCCCCCCAGCTGCCTGGCTCGCGTGACCGGGGAGCTGACCATGACCTTCCCCGCGGGCATCGTGCGCGTGTTCGGCGGGAGCCCGCCGCCGCCCGTGCTCAGCTTCCGGCTGGTGCACACGGCGCCCGTGGAGCAGTTCCAGCCCAACGCCGACCTGCTCTTCAGGTGGGCGCCGCGGCGGGCGGGCGGGCGGGCGGGCGGGCGGGGTTCCGGGCTGGGGTCAGCGTCCGTGTCCCCCGCAGTGACCCCTCCCAGAGCGACCCGGAGACCAGAGACTTCTGGCTCAACATGGCGGCGCTGACCGAGGCTCTGCAGCGCCAGGCCGAGCAAAACCCGGCCGCCTCCTACTACAACGTGGTGCTGCTGCGCTACCAGGTGGGCCGCGGGGCGGGCCGGCCAATGAGGGCTGAGGGGCGGGGCCGGGGCGGGGCTGGAATGGAGTCTGACAGCCAGTGAGAGCTGGTGGGGTGCGGTGGGCGTGGCTGGAAGGGAGCCTGATTAAAAGTGAGCTGGGGAAGCAGGGTGGGCGTGGCTGGGACTGACAGCTGGAGGAGCGTGGGCGTGGCCGGAAGCCTGATAACCAGTGAGAGCTTGAGGAGCGCGGTGGGCGTGGCTGGGAGACTGCTGGCCGGAGGCTAAAGGAGCGCGGTGGGCGTGGCTGGAGAGCCTGATGGCCGATGCCGGTCAGTCCCGCCTCTAGTATGCAAACTGCGTTGGAGCCCCGCCCCATTGCCCAGAGGAGCGCATGACGCACTCCCGCCCTCTGCTGGATGCGCGGGGCAGGCGGCCGCGGCCGCGGGGCTCCGTGGGGGGCGGGGGCGGGCATAGGCCTTGACAGTGTTCCCCCCTGCAGTTCTCCCGCCCCGGGCCGCAGTCGGTGCCTCTGCAGCTCAGCGCGCGCTGGCAGTGCGGGCCGGGCCTCACGCAGGTGCAGGTGGATTATGGCTACCGCACAGGAGCCACGGCGGTGGCCACGCCGCTCACCAACGTCCAGATCCTGCTGCCCGTGGCGGAGCCCGTGACCAACGTACGCCTGCAGCCGGCCGCCACGTGGTGAGGCGGTGTGCGGGGCTCAGGGGGGGCCGGGGCGCGGGGTGTGGTTCCACCCGCCATCACGGTCCGTCTCCCGCCAGGAGCCTGGAGGAGAAGCGGTTCGCCTGGAAGCTCCCGGACGTGTCGGAGGCGGGGGGTGAGCGGGGGGAGGGGCGGGGGGGGGGGTGGGGGGGAGGTTGAACGGGGGGGGGGGCAGGGGGTGCAGGGGGTGCGGGGATGAGGAGTGGAGGCTTGCGGGGAAGGTGCCCTGCGCACAGACGTAGCACGGATTAAGCGCCCTGTGGCCAGGCAGCTCGGAGGCCCGGGGTGTGGGACGGGCAGCCGATGCCACGGGCTACGCAGCCCGACGGTGGGGGCCGAGGAACGCCCGGACCCCCGCGTGGAGGCCGGTGTGCTCGCACTGACCCCGGCCCCCCCCCAGGCTCCGGCCGCCTCTCCGCCAGCTGGGAGCCGCTGTCGGGGCCCAGCGCCCCCAGCCCCGTGGCCGCGCAGTTCACCAGCGAGGGTGCCACGCTGTCAGGCGTGGACGTGCAGCTGGTGGGCAGCGGCTACCGCATGTCCCTGGTGAAGAGAAGGTTCGCGACAGGTATCCACCGCCCTCGACGGGGGGAGGGGGGGTGGGAAGAGGGGGGGAGCATGGGGAGGGCATCCGCAGGCCGGTGGGCTCGC